TTCGAATGAACTTTATGAATCAATAACAGCAAAGTGGAAGGAAGGTCAGCAGCAGTTTTCCTCTTGTCTGAGTGTAGCCAATGTTAGGCTTGGAATATCTAAAATATATTAGGAACTACTATAATCACATTTATGCAGCGGTTTTGCAGGAAATTTGCAGATTTCTTCAGTGCTGTCATGTAGCTGCTATCTGAAGGATACAATACAAAGCCAGAGCCAATGGTGTCACTGATGGGTTTTTAAGTTGTTGTGTATCAGTTTTTACATGGCAGAACTACTATAAGAGGCCTTAAGAGCCAGTGCCTAAAAATAATTTCCTTGGCTATATTTTGCCACTGGGAAAGTGTAAGTGGATTAGAAACCGTTCTCATCAATGACTTACTGCAACTGAAACACCACTAATTTCCTCCCACTTCTGATTACAGAAAAAAAATTGACACAGTCACCCCTAGATGTGTGAGCACAAGCAGCCATATGAGACGGCTCGAGGCAAGGTTTGCTTATCCCTATAACCCTACAGCTCAAATATTATGAAGGACCTTTCCTAATTCCTCACATTTCTGAAGCTCCTTCCAAAATCAAGGTGTTCCCATAGTGAATTAGACATCTCAATGCTGTTTGCTGCCTCCAAGCATAGAGGAGGACACCAGGCTTCGAAATTTCCCTTCATTTCACGCCTAAAAGCGAAATTCCTAACTTAATTAAATCCTTTCCTTCTCTAGAGCTGGCATCTCTGGAAAGTGCTTCTTGTGCTCTCTTTTGCCTACTGAGGGATCCCAGCCAACTAGTTCAGATTGTAGCTGTAAATTAGAAGCCTAAATTCCGGATGCATCGAGTTAAGTGAGATGAATCCCATTGCTAGGGGTGACAGTAATAGATCTCACAGGGTGAGAGATCTTCTACCCTGTAATTAGAGTAAATTTTTCAGTCAGGACTGCCCCTCACGCCTTTCCGTAGAGGTAGCAAAGCAGGGTCGTGCTCTTTGCTGGAGCTTTCTGGTGCTGCTGTAATACATAGGGCTCCTATTTGCAAATGCAATGTTGTTATTCTGAAAATCCCTCTCATAATAGCTCCATTTTTCTCCAGTATTTTCCTGACCGACTGAATGGAGAGACGATAGCTATACAAACCTTCAAAAATCTCAAGAAACTTTTGATAGCAGCTCAAAAGGGTTGTTTTCATAAGTTTCTTTTTCTATGTCCATGTCGTTTGCAGATTGTGTCTTACTTGTTCAGCCAGCCTTACAGATATGTCTAAAAATACAGGGAAAATAAAACAAATTTGCTGAAGTTTGACAACATCTGTTTGATCAAAAGTTGTTTAGTCAAAAGTATTTTAAAAGTCAGGAAATGAAGATTTTTTAATGGATGCTATCATACTTATTATTATCGTTAGGTTTCTGAAGAAGAAAAAAGGAAAAGACATTTCCACACAAGTTCTACGTGACTTGTTAGTGTCAACTTTGAATTTCCTTGTTTTTTCCTAGTTTATAGAACACCCTTAATATAGAATAATTTTGTCTGAGAATAAATCCTGTGTTTATTCAAATTCGTAGATTCATAATATTAAAGAATGATTTACTGCCTCTCTCCATATACCTATTTCCCTCTTTTTGCTTCTTTTTTATTTCTTTCAAGGACCAATGTACTGCGCCAAGTACATCTTCAGTGCTTTTAAGCATTAAGCTGTCTTGTCATTTCACTGTTCTCCAAACTTTGCATTCCAGCTTTCAGCAGTCTCTAACCAAATGAAGTCTGCTCTGTCTTAGTCTTCTTCCTAACACATTTTAAGTACTTTGAAAAGTTCTATAAAGCAGGAGAAAAACTGAAGTCCTGATGTTACACCTAAGTCAGGTCAAAGTACTGTATTGGCTTCTAACACCTCTGTCGCTAGCATAAAAAATAAGACATGTTTGATTGAGGCTGAATAACAAAATCACCCTTTTGTTTAACCACTTCAATAGACAGAAGACATTAATATTAATATTTCTGATGAAATTCTTGTTTATCGGTTCACTAAGGCTAGTATTTTGGCTCCAGCAAGAAGCTAAAAGGAGTTCATCTGGCAATAGCACATGGATCTAAATGAGCAATAAGGTTACATGGACACCAGGACAGATCCAGCTGCTTTGGGACCAGCTAGAAACGAAGCCTATGGCACAGTTGGGTGATGACCGGGGAGTTTCAGCTTCTACTGATTTTCCCGGTTCACTGACAGCTGCCAATGTGGATCTATGCCAATGTGGGTTGCACCACCAGCAGTAATATTGTCTGCTCGTCATTTCTTCGAAACTGGATCATAACTGGAACTGCTCATTGTTTGTGCTGATCTAAGGCTGGGGAATGCCCGTAAGAGCTACCTCAGTCTGTTTGGTTGTATTTCTGTCAGTGTTTAAAAGCAGTAGGTAATTTGTCTGTGGGGAAAGGTACATGCTGTCTCTTACAGTCTGTCTTAGCTTATGGTTTCACCTTAGATCTGTAGCAGCTTCTCCATCAGTCTGGTCCGTGTGGTTTCTTGCCTTCACTGCTGCAGTGTTTGGGAGACAAAGCCTATGACTTTGATTCCTCAGCTCTTCTGTAGCCCTTGCAGACGAGGCTTGGCTGCTGCTTTTCTCACAAATGTCTGCCTACCCCCAGCTACCAAACACCTTGGCTGAACCCGCAGTCGGTACCAGGACTTGAGCCAGACACTAGAGCTGGTTTAGTGTCAAAATAGACCACGATCTCCAAGCTGTGCACAGGCAGCTTCTCACACATCTCACAAATACAGGAGCATGGGCTGCTCTCACTAACAGCGAACGATTTTGCTTGGTGATTTCAGAGAATGACGAGGAGCAGGAGGTTCTGCTATCACTGGACAAGCCCGGCTGGTATTCCCAAGGTAATGCTATCCAGCTTTATGAACTACTGAAGAAGATGACTGGCAAGTTGGATCCCAAGGTATGTTGTAAGTGAGGGTAAATCTTTCTGAAAATACCCTGTTTCAGTCTAAAATTCACCAGACAAGCTTTCATTAAAGTTACTGATATGATTGGTCACAAATTTTTGTTCTGGTTATGCTTGCTGTTGTCTAACAGACTGCAGTCCAGAACTGGAAGCAGCGTATTAGTCTTCTTATCGGTAGAATATGTAAACTTTCTAGATGTTTTATTCTGTGTGCATGGTCATGCATTTTGGCAGCTTTGGAGAGAATCAGATTGTAATCAGGAAATAAACCATCTCCCTGAGGAAACAGATCAAATAGATTAAAAGGTGGCATCAGTGAAAACTAGGATCCTGTTATTTTAATTACAGGTCTGGATGGGTGAAAATGCCACTGAAGATGGTGGGACCACATCTTCCCTAGTGGGTAAACTACGCCCTGGGCACAGAAGAGTTCTGAGTCACCGAGAGATGCTCCGTGTTCTCTCTTGTTTCCAAAGTTGTCCAAAATTCATTCCCATTGTTTAGTGTATTTTCTTGGTAGTCTTTTCCACTGCTTCCTGGCAGGCTATTTCTGTCAGTCAAAAATCTCAGCGGTGTCCCCTGTGCCGGTCCAGCCGGGCATCCCCTTCCAATGCCCCTGGAGGGTGAGAGCGAGGAGGGTGTGCAGGGCCAGCCTTTTCCTTACGGAGCTGGTTGAAGATAAAACTCCAAACTGTGACATTAATAAGATCTGTGTGTGTCATGGCCGACTGTAAACACGGAGGAATTTTTATTGGGTTGTTTTAAAGCTTGTTTTATCTCTCTGTAAAATACAGTTTGCTTGTGTTTTCCTCATATACAACGAACTTTTAATTTGCTGCTTCCCTCGTAGGTTGTTTATTTTGGTGACAGTATGCACTCAGATATTTTCCCAGCTCATCACTATAGCAACTGGGAAACTGTCTTCATCTTAGAGGAACTTCTAGGGGACAAAGTTACGGTGCCGGCGGAGACTGAATCTGAGCCCTTGGAGAAGAAAGGAAAATATGAGGTAAGGGTTCCTTGCAGATGTTTCCTGGAACAGAAGAAAATAAATTAGTTACAAAAAAGCCTCGTGCCACCTGTGCTGAGAATGAACCTGCTTATCTTACCGGGCTGCTAGCAGCATCAGCATCATTTGCAGACATACCCTCCTTGCCGCACCGGCAGGTGCCAGACTGTCCCAGCTTGGCATTGCTTGGGTGACACAGAGCCTCTACTCAGAGCTAAATCGCGGACCTCAGAAAAAGACCTGTATGTGCAGTCCCTTAACCAAAAAACATAGTCGTCTTTTCAGTAACAAGAACCCGCCCTGTGTCCTACAAGGAGAAATTTCACGGCTGCTTATCACAAGTCCAGCACCTGAACTCTGCTGAGTTCACGATGTTTCCCTGCGTGTTGTGGCCAACAGTAAACGCAGAGGAATTTTTATTAGGTTGTTTTAAAGCTCGCTCTCTCTCTGTGTGAAATACAGTTTGCTTGTCCTTTCCTTATATACAAAGAACTTTTAATTTGCTGCTTCCCTCGTAGGTTGTTTATTTTGGTGACAGCTGCGCTCAGATAAGAGGGACTGTTTCGAAGTCTGGTCCAATGCAGACTACTGATAGTCACCTCAGATAAATAATGTGATTTTCAGGTTGATCACAGCCGGGAATCAGGGCCTTAGCGTAACTGCCACGTGTCAATTCCCCCACAGAAGGTGGAAAGTTACTATGGCTTATCCTTCTCTCCGCTGCCAAAGAACAAAGTAGATAGGGAATGGCACTCGGATGGCCGAGGCGGCAGCATTGTACCTCCAGCGTGTCCTTTGTAGGAACTACAGTGCAGCTTCACTCTCCGCTATGAGTGTTTCTTCTTTTCTTATGTTCCTAAATAAATAGGTCATTTTCTTCTAATTGCAGAGAGATATATATGCTTTTTGCAATTTGCTTTGAAAAGCGCTTAACTTTTTTTTTCTTTTTAAATGATTACTCTTTGTGATTAAAAAGTTAACTTACTGATAGGAAGATTTTTGTCAGGTGCTTTTATACTAGAGATGTTTTTAATCTGACTAAGAAATGTTTTAAAATCCCTTGGTTTTGTATGGAGAAAAGGATATGTTCAATGGGACTAAAACAGTATAGATGTGACATCTATTTCTCTACTTTTTTTAATAGACGTATCTAATATTTTCCCCCACTATCCTGATTTCTAAACTAAGGTCAGACAAGGACATTTCAGTCACTGAAATAAGGAAATGTAATCATTAATGTTTAGGCTTTTTCCTGGTTGTAGAAAAACAAAAATGAAGACAAACAAACTCAAGTCTCCTATCAAGAAAAATGTGTTTCTCAGTAAGAAAGGGGGGGGGGAAGGGAAGAGTGAGTAGTAGTGCTACATAGGTTAATATAATTTGATTCAAGTAATTAATGCTATAAAAATAACTCATTCTCCTCCATAAATTTGTTCATTCTCTGACTGGAGACTCTGCTGCATTGCCGCATAGAACTTACATCTCTGCAAGGTTTGGGTTTTTTTATTCAACCATGGTTTCTTAAGCATGTTCGATATATGCTTTTGAAGCACACATTGTTAAACAGACAGCCAGAAAATGTTTCTTTTCCTGGAATTACAAAGAAAGAGTTATCAGGTGATGTATTTCTAAGCCCTTGATGATGATTTGGTTTTATCTTGTTGCAATACCTCTGGTCGACTGCTCACAAGATCCATCTTCTCTATCGCTGCAGTTATCAAGCGGGAAATTGAGACTTTTAGACAGGTGCTCGACATTTCACTAACACTGTAGTATTCCTGGTAAGAGATTGCAGTATCTCGGGGAGACACCACCCCTGCCACACACAACCCCTGTTCAGTTTACATCCGCTACCAGTGACAGCAAGCAAGCAAGGGAGAAATGAATTGCGTTGATTAAAGGAACCTGAACCAGGGGGGCCGTGGCAGGTCAGTGGTGTTATTTCATTACCACGCTGCTCACTGGAGTCTGAACAACAGGTCACATCCACATCTCTGCAGTTGACTGGACACCACTAACTTAACAGGACTAGTTCAAAGGGACTACCTTTACAAGCCTATGAAAGTTTTATTTTTATTCCCCTAATCAGCTTCTCCCATTAACTCTTTGGTTAAGAGGAGAGAAAAGCCAATTCAAAGGATTGTACAAAGTCAGGTGGTTTTGGAAAATTAGGCACTAACAGATTAGATTTAGTCTTTTTCATCAGCCATATCATCCACTGGCAATACAAAAAATACACTGCTATTGCAGATTTTCCATGCCATGCTGTGTGTGCAGAGAGGGACTGAAAATTTAATACAAGATGCAATCCTCCCTTCTATCAATCTTTACAAAATATTATTAAAGAAATAAATTATTACTTCTAATTTGCAATTGCCTCTTTCGGAAAGAAATTACAAAAGCCTGTTTTCAGTTCGTTGACTGGTATTTCATCACTAATGGAGAGAGGGGAAGAAAACAACCTCCTCACACACAAAGTGGGAGGCTAGTAGTTTCCATTTTCATTAGCAGTTTTTGTCTTTTCCCTTCAATTAAATGCATGATATAAGCCAGATACACATAACTGTGAAATTATGGTAACAACTGCAGTTCTTTCAAGTATATGAGTCATAATCAAATAAGCAAGAGAACAGCGAACTAAAAACTATTCATGCAATTACTCGACTCCTAAGTGAATTGCAGCATGCAGGGGGAAAAAAATACCAAGCATTGTGTTGAAACAAGATTCCCCCCAGATTTGGGAGTTTGTTTGCTTGGCTGGAGGCTTTGTTTTTGCCTTCTGTTCTTTAAATGTGTGATCAATTCCATCAATGAAAACTCGAAGAAAAGCTGGAATTTGTCCCAGGATTTTGAGGGAAGCGATTACAGAGGAGCTAGTCAGCGTGTAAAAACCTTGGGCTATAGGAATGAATGGAGCAGAAATCGAAGAATTTATTGGCGCATATAGACGATATCTTTGCAGTTAGAAGGAAAAACTAATTTTTACAGTATTGCCTAGTGGCTGGTTGGTTGGGGGGGGTCAGGGCCCTTAACCACCTGAATTTCCGGGACTCCCTTGCCGTGACCATAGACGAGGCTAATTACTCTGTGCCTTGTGGCTCTGTTTGTCTCTTTATTCCCGTTTATCTTTAACACAAATCTAACAGTACTTTCAGAACCTGATGGGCTGTTGTGAAGCCTGGCGAGTCTGCAATATCCTTAAAGCAATATCTTGAAGTGAAATGCATTTTATTTTAAAGTCTGCTTATAGTGATCCACGTTGTAGTTTAGGTACAATGATCATGGGTGAAACGTTTTATATTTGGACATGACTTGTGGGGGGCAGGTTCCGTGCAAAAGTTAGACCAGTGACAGGCTTGCCCATTTGCACACCCGGCATGGGTGTGTCATTCAGGGACATCTGGTTGTTGTGACCAGCACAGCTGTGCTGGCAGAAACACCTCAAATACTTGCCGTTATACCGGCAAAACCGTATTTTGAGCATTAATTTTTTCTGGCACTAAGAGTCGGTGGTGATGTTACTACCTTGGCACAAAGCATACAGCCATCAGCACCATCCGTCATACTGGATGCAGGAAAGTAATCCTAGTGCTCTGCGCTTGGTACAAAGACAATGGCATATATGGCAAATCTCCATCTAAATAACACCTTTAAAAAATACTAACACCTTGATTTTTCACTCCTGTCTCCTTTACATCCTTCTTTCTTTCATCCCTTTGCCATATGTAGAAAAACTTCAGAGCTCAGCTCCCTGCCTATTTGTATTTTAGAAAGGTCATTTGTAAGCTGACAAATCAGTGTTACCCAAGGGTCCTGTTAACAGATTCTGTCTGCTCTGTTAACAGGCCCGATTTGTCTGCAGTTAATAAAGCAAAGGTGATAGTAAGTATTCCAGGTGCTTTAACTTAGTGGAAAGCCCTGGGACTTGGGGAACACTGGTACCATCGTTATTTCTCTGAAGTCTAGACGTAGTCTTTGAGGCTTTGTACCCTCAGCTGACATAATCAACGTCTGACCTGCTACTGTCTGACCAATATGCCTGAGAGCAAAACCACATGCTTGGGGGTTTTGCATAAGAAAGAGGGATTGCTCAGCACTTCCCAGGGTCTATGGTCCTGCTGCGAGAGCAAACCCCATGCCTGGGGACTACAGGAGTGGCTGGTGCGCCTTCCAGAGCTCCTCGGCCACATGTGCCTCCAGGCATGTGAGGAGTAGTGATCTTAACAGGGGACTTCTGCATCATTTCACAGGGGTATAGATTCATGGTACGTGGTCTGTCCTTCATGGCAGGCTACGTATGCTGCAGATGAGATATGGACATCTAGGCATCAGTTAGGGATGGCAGGGGGAGCAATGTCTGATGCTTCCTAAGGATGTGGACAAAGTTTTGACAGCTCTTTTCAGATCTGAGATCGAGATTTAGCCTACCAAACGGCCCCTGTCATGTGGAGATAAGCCAGTAGCAAAATGACAGGAGTTCCCTACCAGGTGACTTGATGACAACTCTCATATCTAACTGGCTTTGGTTTTACTAAGGGCTTGGGCTGTAAATCCAAAATGTAACTCCCTCCTCCTTAATAAGGAAGAAATTCCCACTGTGGGAATCAGATCTCTGAAAAAAATCAATTCATTTCCTCAGATTGCAATTTTAATTGCCTATTGAACCAATCATACATTTCAAAAAGCAGAAGCCTCAGATTTTTTCTCTTGTCAATAAACAAGGCCCTGTCTTTTGAGCAAATGCTTATGTGGGCCAGTACTGGGGTTGTTGTTTTGATTAATCACCTGAACAGCTGTAACAGCCTTATGAGTTTTCTGCATGTGTCATTCAGCTGACAAATGGATTTTAATTCAGCATAGCATCTACATTTAATTATAACTGATGTAAAGTCCTGGGATTTGCAAGGAAAGATAAGATTTGGCAAAAAAAAAAGGTAAGATGCTGTCCCTGTGTGTGAGGCAAAAAAAAAGAAACACAAAAGAGCCCAGCTCTTAAGTTAACTGCTTGTTTTGAAACAGAAGACGTATTTTTTTCCCAACCTATTTGCATCAGAAGACAGAAACCAATATCTATATTTGTCCAAATCAATACTTCCTCCTCACCCCCAGCTATGCTCAGAGAAAAAACTGTTATGCAGAATCACAAAAAGAATGGCCCTGTGTTTACTGACATGGTCTGTTCAGCTGAATCAACAGCTTTCTTGTGATCAAAAGCCACGGACCTCTGTCATAAACACAAATTATTCCAGCAGATTCTCAAAACTATTAAGAAAGGGGTTAAAGGGAAAATAAAGTACAAAAGTTCACGAATTTGGAGGCACACGCTAGGATATCTGTTCTTCTATGCTTTGCCGGTCTGAAAAGAGACTTTGCACACAAATGACTTTAACAGATTTTCTGTAGTGTAGTTCACAGTTTTGTTTTCCATTTTTTCATCTTTCTGTAGAGGCCTCCTGGAGCTTTTTCTGGCTGCTCATGGCAATATATAGCAGGTTTCAAGATGAACTGCTAAAAAAATCAGTTTTCCCAATGCTGCTTTAATGCTTTCTTTAAAGCATAATGAGTCTACATGTTGTTGTCTGAAAATATACATGAAAAAAAATCAATTTTTCACAATTTGCTAGGCAATTGAATGGGTCTCCATGGATCCTGAGGCTCTGTTCTCGCTCATTCCTCAGCTCAGAAACAGGTAACATGACACAGGTGGCATGATGCATCCTTCGCAGTTACTCCATCCAGCACCGGGAGACTCCTTTCTCCCAGGAGGAGTTCCAGGCTGGGTTATGGTCTGTGCCGCAGCTACCCTTTTCTCCAGCAGAGAAAGGCAGCAGGCTATTCACACTATCGAAAACAGAAAAGCGGGGAAAAGAGAAGATTGTTTAAGGGAAAAATATTTAAAGCCAACTTTTTATCTCCTAGGGAATCCATAAATTGCATAAACAGGAGCTTGGAGACTTATGGGAGGAAGATTGTTAATGTTTTTCTTTATAATATTTTAAAGTCACATTGCTGCTGAGATACAATACAGTTTTCCCAGAAAATCAGCGAAACACTAGAGTTCCTTAAACTAAGGCTTGTGGTTGGATAGAGAAAGATTTCTTTTTTTTTAAGATTACATATTTATTTATTTATTTTTCTTTCAGGGTGATCAGCCCAAAGCTCCTTACTTTGTTTCTAAACAGTGGGGCTCTTTCTTCATGGACAGATTGCCAGGCCTGGAAAATGCAGAGGAAACTTTAGTTCGCACGTGGTCCTGTAAATGTATTAGCACTTACAGCACGATTGCAATCCCTACTCTTGAAGCAATAGCAGGTAAGGAAGATTGCTTTTTTTTTTCTAATGAACATGTAGTATTCACAGTAATTTTGTCATAGTATAGATCTATTTTTGAGATTACATGTATCCAAAATACATTCAAAAATATTCTGTTCATATCATGCAGCAGTTAATGCCAGTGGCTATTACTTTGACATTTATGCTTTTAATAGCTGTCTGCTACACCAGTTCAGTTTTTTGTTTGTGCCTGCAAATATTACCTGCTTAGTTTATCCTACATTATAAATAGGATGCAACATTTAACAGATTGTAGATTAGTTCCTGAATTTTGATTCGAGACTTCCCCACACTATTTTGCTGTGTCTGCTTTCAGTCGTGAGTTACCTTAGGAAACAAACACATGCCAAATTACTTGGGTTTTTTAGACTTCCAAATATGTTTCTCTGATCTGGCTTGTTATCCTTCCTCAATCAGCTCAGTTATCCCTTTACAGTTGAAATGGAGATGAACGAATGCAGGAATGTAATGAAGCCAAGAATGCCTAGCACTGTGCTTCTTTTTTTTTTTTTTTTTTTAAATGTGTGTATTGCTTTTGAAACTGCATCATTATGGACAGAGCTGGAGCCTAAAATATTCTCCTTATCTGGAAAACAAGGCAATCACAAGCAATGTCTTGTTCTCCAAAAATTCACCTAATTGAGAAACCAGCTCAGGCTTTCTACCTTCTTACATCAAGGCTGTGTCAAAGGTACAATTATGGCTGATCTTCTGATTTCCACTAATATTTGTCCCCTGAGGGACCATACATTATTTTGGATGGTTTGTAGCAACAGTTGTAGCAGTAATACTGCAATAACTTTGCAATTGTGGTACATATCAGTTGATTACGAAGTGGTGGTGAAGACCCTCTATCTATCTATCTATCTATCTATCTATCTATCTATCTATCCATCCATCCTCAATCTGTCATTTTGCCTTACTGAACTTTATCGATACACCATATCTAAAGGAATAAACAAGTTATTAAATGAATGAGGTGCTTAGCTATATGAAGAACACAGCAAGCATTTAGTTTACTAACCCCTCTGTTCAGCATCTCTTGCCTACTTCATGCGTAAGGCCAAGGAATAAAAAGTTGTTCCACGACAGCATTTCAGATTTGCCCAGCAGTTATTTCTATACCAGAACATGTGACAGACCTGTTCTTTGCAACCATATTCTACACGTATATGTACGTTGTAAGGATATCTCAAAACAGAAAACTCATATGGTGCCACAACTGTATTTATGATTCTGATATTTGCCGTGTTGCAATCTGTATTTCAGACTAAACGTACAAAGCCCAAATATACCAAGGGAAGTTGCCAGGAGAGAGGTAACTTCTGTAAAACTCCCTTCTAATACCTTTTCCAGAATCATTCTGTGGCTTGCTTTGGAAGTGTTGGCCTAGAGGAAACATATCGGTCAGCCATGTTCTGTGAAACTCTGCCTCCCAGCCAGCTCCCCCAAACCACAGCTCAGTTTGCAGGGCTAGCAAAGGCTTTAGACCGCAAACATACTGCCAAGTTTCCAGCTACAGATGAAGGGGTGAGAACCAGAAAGGCATATCTGTGTAAATTAGTGAGTAGTATAGCTGCCTGTCGTCGGCGGTGGAACCCCTGCAATGTCTTCCTCCATTAGGAGGGACACTGTGTGCCGTCCCTCGCTGCATCGGACCAGTGCTGGGGCAGGGGCTGGTGTCTGCAAAACTTATACCCCAGAGCTAAAGGACAGGGGAGGAATAATGTTTTTAAGTTGCAGCTGTGTGCCTGAAAGCGGACTTAAAGCTGAAGGTACGAGAACATCTCTGGTTTCTTAGAGAGAGAGGTATTTCTTGTTTGTTTGTGCGGAAGAGCAGATGTTCATTATTATGGATGTTGAGGAATTCCTGACTCCTCTTGAATACCTTGTCTGACTCCTGTCACAGCAAGCTGTGAGAGCCCCTGCTTTGCCAAGCCCTGAAGTTTTTGGCCGCAGTTGTAAGTCATAGCTTAGCTGCAGCTACTTGGGAATAACTAGCTAGAAGAGATTCAAACGGGTTATGCGAGTTTGATGCACTCCAGCTTTTCCTTTTCTAGTCATCTACTTTAATTACCAGCAGAGGCCTTTCCACTGCTAAGCTGCAAAAACGCAGGCCTTTCCTCAAAATCCCCCGAGCCCAACCGCGCAGCCAGGCTGCCGGCGTGCTGACCGTACGAGCCCAGCTCCCGGCCACCAGCTGGCACGGCCCCGGCAAGCACCCGGCTCAGCCTGACCCAGCCGAACGAGCTGCCACCTCCCTGGAGGTGTGCTGCAGCCTCCTGCGAGTTGTGGGCTCGCCAGGGCTTCGCTATTAGCAATGTCTGACCTGGCCTTTGTACGTCTATGTGAGCAATAGGAAGTGCCACGTATAAGTGAATAACCCAACAGCTTGCGATCTGCAAAAATAGTTGGTGAAAGGCAGACAACTGCTGCTATGCTAACTGTAAAATTGATGCTTGTTGTTTGGATGCAATATATATCTGTGCATGAAGAACAGCTTGGTTTACTTCTCAAGACACATTTTTCATTGAAAAAGATTATTCCAAAAATTATTCAACATTATTCAATACTAGTGGTGTTTTACAAAAATAACTCAGTTTTCATCAAAATTCATGTGAGAATTATTTTGAGAGAGTTATCAGAAATTAATTTTGGGTAATAAAATCCTTCAATCCTGTTTCCATTTTTTTTAAATAGAGGCAATGGGTAAAAAAAAATTAAAAGTAAGCTGTAGATTTGGATTGAGAAGTTGGAACAGAAACAACTTTGACAGTTCTCTTTTTTCACCAACACGTTTTAAGTTTGGTGCAGATGCCTTCTAATAGTTTCACCTGAAGAATTTTTACGTGTAACTAAAGGGAACGATCTGATACTTACCAAAGAGCGTTGCAGGAAAAGGGTTTCACAGTGAATGCTTTTTTGCCATCCAAAGTGTAAAGTAACAGAGCATATACACAAATTGTATGTGTAATTAGTAAAATGACAGCTTGGTGAAAAAATAGTCCAGTCCATTCTTCATTATCTTTCTGTGCTAATATACTTCTGTCCTCATCTTTTGTTGAAAATTCAGTATCTGACTCGAAAGGGGTTGATTCATTCATCATTCAAAGATGCATCAGAAATTCTGAACTCTAATCTTGCCTCTGGCAAGGAAAGTATTAGTGGGATTGCGGATTACTGCATCACAGCTTGTCATCTAAACTCCCCTGACAGTCCCTGAAGAGGAACTGGCATTTTCCTTGTGCATGAAAAAGGACACTTTGTTTATCGTTAAAATTTCCCAAAGGACAAAAAGGACCTTTTATAATACCTTCCGTGTACTTTCCTCAGTTTGGAGAGGAAATCAGGTAAAGGTCAATTAACGCACTTCATTTAAGACATTATCACCTTGACATTAAGATGACATTAAAAAAAGTTTAACTGAAGAGCAGTGTTATGGTTATGTCTTTGTAATATTAAGAAAAGATGAGTTGACAGTTTTCTTAACATTTTGTAGGTCTTTTATGAGCTAATTCTCTTTACCCACTTTCAGTAAGCAGGAAAGTTTTTCTCAAGTATTAAAGAGCTGATGAGCTCGTGATTATATTGACAGTACATGGTTAATAAAATAGTAGAAGCCAATGCCCCTACTCCTATTCGAAATGCCTCATTCACAAATCCATCAGTTTCTTCACTTTTCTGCTATTGAATCTCTCCTCATTTACAGTTCCCTTACAGTTTTTGACCATTTTCAAGCACAGTGATATTGGAAGCCAAGTTTTCCAAACCAAGATCCATTACCGTGAGAATGTTACATTCGAGCTCACACATGGAAATTAAAAGGTGTAGGGGTCTGTCTGAAAAATGGCCTTTTGCATAAACCACAGTTTCGGATACATCCTCCTCCACTTCAGCAAGTTTGGCATGAACCAAGTAGGGGCGGGTACTTTTATCCACCATACCTGCGTAATCTGAACTTTACCTTCAAGGAGCAGGTGACCACTACTCTGTGGCCTTTTGATCATATTTCCAGATACCCATGTAAATAATGATATGTCCTGCGTCACGTAGGTATTCCAACAATAACTGCAGAAGATCTCTCTAATTTATAAAGAATATCAAATATAAATAACATTTTATTACTAAGCAAGTTTTTGTAGAAAAATTCACTGAAGTAATTAGCCAGTGCTACCATTTTAGGTTGATATTTGATTAACAATTCTTTGATCCCAAAAATGATATTTATATTTCAAGCTAATGCTCTTCCTTTGATTCTGATCATGGTTGGTATTTTTATAAAAGTCCCACTTCAAAAAATTCCATGATGAGTAACTGTGGAGTTTTAGAGTTCATGACGGAATTTTGGTAAGTTTGTTTTTTTTCTTGTTGCAAAAAAAAGATTGAAAAAGAGGATCCTAAATCCTGAAAAGGAGAACCCAAGAAAAACTTTTTTTAACTTTCATGATTGTTAAACAGCGTGGGCTTCCCACGGGGTCACAGCCTCTTTTGGGCGCATCCACCTGCTCTGGCGTGGGGTCCTCCACGGGCTGCAGGTGGATATCTGCTCCACCATTAACCTCCATGGGCTGCAGGGGGACAGCCTGCCTCACCATGGTCTTCACCACGGGCTGCAGGGGAATCTCTGCTCCGGTGCCTGGAGCACCTCCTCCCCCTCCTTCTTCACTGGCCTTGGTGACTGCAGGGTTGTTTCTCTCACATAATCTCGCTCCTCTCTTTGGCTGCAGTTGAGCAGTTTTCTTTTTCCCCTTCTTAAGTACGTTATCACAGAGGCGCTACCACCGTCACTGATGGGCTCGGCCTTGGCCAGCGGTGGGTCCATCTTGGAGCCAGCTGGCATTGGCTCTATGGGACTCGGGGGAAGCTTCTAGCAGCTTCTCACAGAAGCCTCCCCTGTAGCCCCCCTGGCTACCAAAACCTTGCCACGCAAACCCAATACACCTCTGAATGGTGAGGTTTGTCATAGGATTAAAAATTAC